AACAGAGATTTCCTTTTGGTGGTATTTGAACATCACTGGGTTTTTATTTTTGTGATATAAATGAAAAAAGACCCCCACCCCTCCCCCAAATAATTTCTACTTTTTCTGTTATAAAAAATATCCAATAAAGTCAAATTTTTAGTAATACATATAGGCCAAAACCTAATCTGCTACATGTCTTTTGGTAAAAAAAATCCCAATAGATGCATATTAATTGGTTTGTGTGAAAGTTATAGCATCTACAAATTATGGTGTATATACAGTACATTGTAATTTACGCAGCTTTTACTTTCTGACTGCCTAACACAGTTCTTCAGGTGGTAAAATGCCAGGGCAGGACAAACCCCCCCCCCCCCCCCCCAAATTACCCCTTTTTGGAAAGTAGACACCCCAAGGAATTTGCTGGGAGGAATGTTGTCCATGGAAGATTTTTTTTTTTTTTTTTTTACACCAAGTTTTCATTTAAAAGATATACTGTATTACTTACACATGCCATGGATATATGTGGAATAACACACCAAAACACATTCTGCTGCTACTTCTGAGTATGGGGATACCACATGTGAGAGACGTTTTGGCAGCCTAGCCACATAGAGGCCCCCAAAATCCAATGACCACCTTCAGGCTTTCAAAGGGCATATTTCCTCATATCACTCCCTCACTACCTATCACCGTTTTGGAGGCCCTAAAATGCCAGGATAGTACAAACACCCCCCCACAAATGACCCCTTTTTGGAAAGTAAACACCCCAAGAAATTTGATAAGAGGCATGGTGAGCATATTTCATATACCATTTTTTTTTCGTCACAGGGTTTTAAAAAAGAAAAGAAAAAAAAATGTTTCATTTTTTTTCTCCTTCATTTTCCAAAAACTTGTAGCAACAAATAAAATCTGCAATATGCACACCATGCCCCTTAGCAAACACCTTGGAGTGTCTACTTTCCAAAAAGGGGTCATTAGTGGGGTTGCTTCTACTATCCTGGCATTTAGAAACTTATGCCACACATCACCTACTCTTCTAATGGCTATAGTTTAAAGTTGTCAGCACGCAGCTAACTTTGGCATGGTACATTTTTTAATTTCTTAACCCCTTTATGCCGGTTGCACACAAATGTGCGGCCTCCCAGCATCTGGGCCTAGATGCCGAGCGACCGAACATTTTCATTCAGTATACAAAATACATATGTGCTGAGAGCGTGTGCCCTGTGCGCTCCCAGCACACGTACGGTACTCATGGAAAGGTCCCAGTCTCCTCTTGCGATCGGGACATTTCCTGATCTTGTGACCGTCGTGACGACGTGTCACGGCGGTCACATGATCCCTAAACCCTGCCCGTCCCGGCTTCTGGAACTCTTAAAGGACAATGAGGCGCCGGCGGGAAAGGGTTAAACATGTAACCGTGAGCAGGAACTTCTAAGGAGCTCACAGGTATCGCCAGCCTGGGTCTGATCAATACTCAAAATCTTGCTGATGTTTGCTCCCTCTGGTCTCAGTTTTTATATTAAAAATTACATTACCAGTGTTTAACAGGTTCTGTAGTATTTTAAAACATGTCCTCTATGCGAGCTTTAGGAATGTCGATGGGAGTTTGGTTTTAAGGTTACAGATGTCAGAGCTTCATAAACATACTGGGGGTTATTACTAAAACTAGAGCGTGCAAAATCTGGTGCAAATCCACATAGAAACCAATCACCTTCCTGGTTATATTGCTTTATTGAACTAGCTGAAGGTAGAAGACAATTCACTACCATGTACAGCTGCACCAGATTCCGAGTGCTCTAGTCTTAGTAAATCTACCCCACTGTTTCCCATACACACCCATCTTTGCCTAATTAAAAGGTATGCGCTAATAACAAACTTATACAAAGGTGTATATCATCATCCAAAAACATTTAGTGTTTAAAATAAATAATTATAGTGTCCAAACATAAATTAGTGTCCAAAAAATATATCTTCAGTGACTTGAACCAATTGTGAAAAATCCACCACCAAAGGAGATTAAATGAACTCACCAGAGCTAATGGCTGGTCAGATTATAAACCAGCAACAGCGCTTGTGCTGCTCTGGGAGCAATGAACCCGATGTCCAAATAGATATGGTGATGTTTCAGATACTTCCAGATAATAACAATCACAGACAAACAACTTTACAGCCCAAGCTCTTATGATGAACTTCTCCACTCTTTCTCATACCTCCATGAGAGCATGCAGTACACTCAGGGACAAAAAAGAGAACATAATGGTGCAATATGTTTTTTTTCATTTATCTCTTTAATAAAAAAGGTATAAGGAAACTCACAAACAAGGTGTCCAACAGACACCAGCTTCAATCGCAAAAACAAGGTGAGATACAGGTACCGCCCCTTGATGACGTCTGTGTGACGAAACCGGTTGGGCGTGGCATACTCGATGCGGACGTTAGAGAGCCTTGTTGTTCTGTGCTGTATGGGAGAGATCCGCGGTGAGCGGTAACTGTATCTCACCTTGTTTTGCAATTGAAGCTGGTGTCTGTTGGACACCTTGTTTGTGAGTTTCCTTATACCTTTTTTATTAAAGAGATAAATGAAAAAAACGTATTGCACCATTATGTTCTCTTTTTTGTCCCTGAGTGTACTGCATGCTCTCATGGAGGTATGAGAAAGAGTGGAGAAGTTCATCATAAGAGCTTGGGCTGCAAAGTTGTTTGTCTGTGATTATTATTATCTGGAAGGATCTGAAACATCACCATATCTATTTGGACATCGGGTTCATTGCTCCCAGAGCACAAGCGCTGTTGCTGGTGTGCTATTACTTTGTGGAACGTTTCGCCGAATCGTTCACGAAATATCGCGGTTTTTGTGGAGAAATTTTCCCATAGGAATGAATGGAGCAATTAGAGTGAGAAGTGACAAATCTAGAGTGTAGAAGGAAAAATCAGAACATGATTTGTAAACTGCCATCACTCTGTCATTTTCAAGCCCACCTACACATATCTTATATCAAAACGTTCAGCTAACCCTGCTGTCACTAAAAAATGTTCACGGCTAGGACATACTCCTGATAGTTTTCAGAATATGACCATTTGTTTGCAACTCACCCCTCCCATTGACTTTCATTGAAACTCCACTCTAGATACCTGAAATTTTAAGGAACGTTTTTAAACTGCGACTGTGCCTTCATTTTTTATCTTTCAGAGACATACTATACATCAAACTCATTTTCTTGTGATTCTTGCAATACCAAGCTCTTCGCAGTAGCATTTATACTTTTAAAACTACAAGTGTTTGAAGATGGCAATCTCCAGTGAAGTTGGCAAGTTTAAAACAGTGTGTTTAGAACAGGCATGCTGACATTCCTGACTGAGTGAGTTGCTATAGCAACCAAACATGACTCACGCAGCTGAGTCATCAGGCTAACTGTGAGCTGCAAAATACAAGCTGAAATCCATTTCTCACTATCAGGCTTGCAATGTGCACTGCTTACATTTCATCATTACTTGGTAAAGGTTACTTGCAAGAACACTTTACACAATTTCCCCAGAAATTGTAGATTTTCTAGTAATATATATGTGAGATAACAGTAAGGGGTCTCAAATGCAAAAACACTTAAAAATGAGAGGCACAGGGAACAACCATCAGCTTCCAAGTGTTCCGGAATGGGGTTCTAGGCTCAGAGAAGTTTCTATTGCCTCAGTGTCACTGAACTTCTCTAGTGACATCCTCATATGTCAGTATCATTGAACTTCATTAGATCAGATCCTCTTCATTATATGTCAGTATTGCTGAACTCCCCAGAGAGATCCTAATGTTGGTATCACTCCTGTCAGTAATCACTGTACATCCATCAGAAAGATCCTTGCATCAGTATCAATGAACTTCCACTTAGAGAAATCCTCACCTCAGTGTCACTGAGTTGGCCCCAGAGAGATCCTTCACCTGGTCACTGAGCTTTCCCATCCTCTCCAACTACTAAGTAACCTCGAACTACCAAAATATCAACCTATGGAGAGTCAAATTTGAATTTTACATTAAAATCTTTCTTTTGGCTTGTATGTTCACATCCAAATCTTTCTGGCTCTATAAACCATCTAAAAACACAAATAATTCAGATTTGATCAACCCTGCGGTGGCAAAACCCATTTCCCAGAATCCTTTGCAAAGATATGCAAATGAGCAGGTTCAGCCAGTAAATTCAAATCATGCCTCTGCTGATAACTGTCACCAGTGTGCTTATGAGAGCTCTCAACTGAATTTTCCTGCCATAGCTGGACACAGGAGCAGGACCACGGCAACCGCCTGTAAAATGACAGCCCTTCTTTAACTACAAAGGGTTGGGGGGGGGGGAGGGTATTCTGCTTTAACAAAGCCTTCATTTTTCCTTCATGTAATCCTCCCAGCACTTTGTTATGTGGCAATTTAAGTGTCTGCTGTCATCTCAGGAAGTAGCTGGTGCAGCCTCTCCATATATACAAGTACAGAATCGAAATTCAAGAAACCTCCAGGTGGTAATGTTGTGTTATTAACCCCTCGCCTACAGGGCACCTATACCCCCCCCTCCAGGGCACTACAGGGCACCCTATACCCCCTTCCTGCCTACAGGGCACTTCTACCCCCTTCCTGCCCAGGCCAATTTCCAGCTTTCAGCGCTGTTGCACTTTGAATGACAATTGCACAGTCATGCAACACTGTACCCATATGAAATTTTTATCATTTTTTTGTGACAAATAGAGCTTTATTTTGGTGGTATTTAATCACCTCTGGGTTTTTTTATTTTTTCTTAAACAAACCAAAAACCACTGAAAATTTTGAAAAAAAAATGTTTTTTCTTAGTTTTTGTTATAAAACTTTGTAAATAAGTGACTTTTCTCCTTCACTGATGTGCGCTAATGAGGCTGCACTGATGGGCACTGATAGGCTGCACTGATGGCACTGATAGGTGGCACTGATGGGCACTGATGAGGAGGCACTGGTAGGTGGCACTGATGGGCATTGACAGGCATCACTGATGGGCGCTGAAAGGCAGCACTGATATATGGCACTGGTAGACGGCACTGACTGATAGGCACTGACTGGCACTAATAGGTGGCACTGATGCACACTGATAGGCAGCACTGACTGGCACTGATAGGTGGTACTGACTGGCACTGATTGGCATTGATAGGTGGCACTGACTGGCACTGATGGGTGACACTGAAAGGCAGCTCAGATGGGCACTGATATGTGGCATTGATGTGCACTGGTAGGCACTGATATGTGGCACTGATGTGGCACTGATGGGCACTGGCATGAGGCACTGATGAGCACTGAGATAAGGCACTGATGGACACTGACAGGTGGCAATGCTGGGGCTACATTGATCATCAGGGCAACATTGATCATGCTGTAGCATTTATACTTTTAAAACTACAAGTGTTTGAAGATTGCAATCGCCAGTGAAGTTGGCAAGTTGCAGCAGTGTGTTTAGAACAGCACTTCTAACATTTCTGACTGAGTGAGTTGCTATAGCAACCAAAGGTCACTCAAGAGGCCGATGACTCACCAGGCTGGACTGTGAGCTTCAAAATACAAGCTGAAATGCATTTCTCACTATCAGGCTTGCAATGTGCACTGCTTACATTTCATCAATCATTTGGTAAAGGTTGTAGCAAGAACACTTTACACAATTTCCCCAGAAATTGTAGATTTTCTAGTTAGGATTATTGTTGCCAAAATTTATTTCGGGTGGGATATGCTGCTTTTGGTGTTTTTTGTAAGTGGCGCTTTTTTCTTTTTTAATTTGGTATTGATTGTAAACACCCATCTTTGCAACTAGCAATGTAATGGTAATGGTTCAATGCCTTGACCAAAGTGGTGTAGTAATGTGTGAACCTCACTGTTTTTGTTTTTTTTTCTGTGCAGAACACCATATATCAGGTGGAAATATGTAATCAAGAACTTTTCACAGGTAGTACATATTATGATTTTGTTTGTGTTATTTCTATATGATTATTTAACCACTTTAAGTCCGGACACTTTTACCCCCTTCCTGTCCAGGCCAATTTTCAGCTTTCAGTGCTATCACACTTTGCATGACATTGAGCGGTTTATGCAACACTGTACTCATATGAGCTTTTTAGCATTTTTTTGAAACAGATAAAACTTTATTTTGGTGGTATTTATCACCACTGGGATTTTTATTTTTTTTTGCTATATAAATGAAAAAGACCAAAATTTTGAAAAAAAAAATGCTTTTCTTATAAAATTTTGCAAATAAATAATGTTTCTTTCATAAATCTTGGCCAAAATTTATTCAGTTGACTTTTTAGTAAAAAAAAAAAAAAAAAAAAACCAAATTAGTTTATAAGCAAAAATTATAATTTAAACCATTTATTTTTTATTTTATAATTTTTTTATATTTGTTTTTTGTTTTTTAATATACTGTCACCATAGTGACACTGTACTACTTGTGGGGGGTGATATATATATATTTTTTTTTTCACACGGATTGCTTTTACACCCATAAAGGCTGTAAAAGCAATCATTTCTCCTTCTCTCTTGCTGCATTCTTGCAGCCATTGAGAAATACTGTGAGAGATGTGATTGGTCACAGCTTGTCACATGGTACAAGGCTGTTGTGAATAGCCTTGTACCATGTGATCTCTGTGATCATTCAGATTTCACTAGTAGTAAGCAATGATGTCAGAACCGACATCTTGCTTACTACTATTCATGTGATCACTGATTGGTCAATCAGTGATCACATGATCAGGACCTCACACAGAGGTCTTGTACAGCGATCGGTGTTCCGCTGTCTCCTCCGGACACAGAGGGCACCGAATCACAGTGCCGCGCACACTCCCAGGGAGTGTGCACAAACCTGAAAATGCGGGCTCCTTTTTAAGAACGGAAACCTGCACCTGCAGTGGTTAAGGAATATTAAGTAGGGATTACTGTGTGCTCTGCTATTAGCAAAGGCCACTTCAAATCTCTCTTAAAACTTGTAAACCCAAATAAAATAACCTCCTTCAATAAACCGTAATCTGACCGTCTGTACATGCGACCCATACTTGTGTACATTTTAAGGCTCCATCCATACACACTAGCTCCTAGAAGCTGTTAATAGCATTTTTTTCTGTTCTTAGAAATTAAATCCTATGTGTCTATGCACACTATTTAAGCTAGTAGCATTTTTCAAGCTTCAGCATTTATGAGCAGAAAAAGATTGTTTTTGTAGTTGAGAGCATTTTTCTGGCAGAAAAAAACACTAAATACTCCTAATTGCTAATAAAACGCTCCTTACAGATTTTTGCTAGCTTTTTTTTTTCCCCCTACATGTACTGTATAAAAGCTAATAAAACGCGTACACTCCTATACTTTTTAGATTGTATGCTCCTTGAGGGTTAGGGACTGATGTGAATGTACAATATATACTGTATGTAAAGCGCTGTGTAAATTGGCGCTATATAAGTACCTGTAATAAATAAATGCTTCTAAACACTACTAAAACACGATTACCATCATTTTTATATCCAGCGGTTTTAGCTTACAAATAAACTGCTAGTGTGCATGGAGCCTCAAGCAGCAATACACAACTAGTGCCTTAAAGTGTTACTAAACCCACAACCGTAAAATCAGTCTGTATATGCAGTAAAGCATTCTTGTTATACTCACTCAGGGGTTAATCCTCTGCATTGTGTAAAAAGGCTGTTTTATCCTGTCTTCTCTGCTTCTCCTCTTGTTGAAATTACCACCTGATACAGACTGAATCCATAGTCACTTGCACATGCTCAGTGTGTATTGCTAGAGAGGTGTTTTTTTTTTTCTTTTTCTTTTTCTTGGGAGAGTGCATGTGATCAGCACAGGACCAATAAGAGCAGAGCAGAAAGAAAACTCCTCCTACAAGCTTTAACCAGTACTCTGCTGAAGTCACAAGACTGCTCTAACTTCTGATGAGAAAAGGTATTTAGCAGTTTATATTTACTAAAATAATTGCATTTCCATGTTGTGTGTACCATGGGAGACCAGATATAGTGAATGCAGGGTCTTGGGTTTAGTAACACCTTTAAGAGCCAAATGAGGGCTATTTTCATTTGTTAGTAACGATATGCAGGTACCCAGTTCAAATGCTACATTATCTTTTAACAGTGATATGAAAACTGAAATGTATTATATTGCAGCTTACAAATTCTTAGATTTGGTGGCTGCATTAGTTTTCCTTTTTTAGACCTTCATTCCTTTGTTTTCACTGTTTATCCGGCCAGTCTGTTATTTTTCAACTTTAATTGACCAAGCTGTCTAGCAGAAGTGACAGTTAAAGGGTTAAGACAAACCATTTATTACTTAAAGGATGTCAAGGCCATCTAAATCTGCTAGTGCATCTAACACTACCTTCACCCCAGACACACTGCTGCTGTCCATAGGTGTCTCCATTGCTTCTTCACTCTGGAAGTGTGTGGCCAAATCACCAGGTGAAAATAAAGGAAAAAGTCTTAAAAATTTAATATTATTGCAGCTTACCAATTTTTAAATATGTTGACAGCATTGTTTTTTTTGTTTTGTTTCTGGGTTTTAACCTCCCTGGCGGTTTTCCCGAGTGTAGCTCGGGGTAGAATTTCTATACCACAAGCGGTAACCCCGAGCTTACCATGCGGCGCTGCTCTGGGGGTCCCTGCAGCACTTACCTTGTCCTTCGTTCCCACGATGTGTCCCCTGCAGCGTCCCCCCGGCCATCTCCTCCGGCCGATGCCGGCATCCGGCTTCTGTGTTCCGGTCCCCGTGACGTCGGGACGTACGGGCGCCCACCGGCGGGAAATTTAAAAAATGTAAAAGTCATTTATTTTTTTTTTCAATTTTAAATAGTAAAACATTGCTGTTTCATCCCATTTCACATACATATTGTCCCTAGTGCTTTGCCCTGTGCCCTGCCTGCATTTTGTCTGTTCTTTCTGCCTGGAAACTTAGAAAAGTCCATGGCGTCCAAAAAGCGTCCCTTTACGTCAAAAGCGGTTTTAGACCAGCTAGAGAACAGCGATAGTTAATCAGAACCACTTACAGAATTGAGTGATGATTTGTGGGGAAATTTTCCTAAAAAATTACAGCCTACAATAAAAAACTATTTCCATGCGAAAAAATGGTACCGCTTTCAGCACAAAAAATCAGAAGGAATCATACCGCCAAGGAGGTTAATACCTCTTTGACTAGTTAAGCTTTTTGAAGGGTTAAGCATCAGCTTGTGGCTAGTTTCCTCATATGTCTCCCAGCTGTAAGGTGAAAGTGATTTGGCAGCTGTATAGCTGCCGATCGTTTTTCAATGCGGGCAACATATGACCCACCTGCTTGGTTACTGGGCTTTCCTGCTCTTACCGGGGGCCCTGGACCACATATGAGGACTTCAAAATGGCAGGCAGGAGAAGACAGAGGAACATCCATTCCTTGATCTCTGTCCAGAATGAAACCAGATGCGATGGTGATTTTGTCACTTCTGATTTCAGAGCAGTCTCTTTTCGGTTACATGCTTTGAAGGGTAGGGGAGACTTTAAGGTCTATTAGACCCCCAATGTATCCATAAAGAGTACCTATCACCTGTCCACTGCTATCACATAGTGGTTTGTTATGTACAGTGGGGATCGAAAGTTTGGGCACCCCAGCTAAATATTTGTATTAATGTGCATAAAGAAGCCAAGGAAAGATGGAAAAATCTCCAAAAGGCATCAAATTACAGATTAGACATTCTTATAATATGTCAACAAAAGTTAGATTTTATTTCCATCATTTACACTTTCAAAATAACAGAAAACAAAAAAATGGCGTCTGCAAAAGTTTGGGCACCCTACAGAATTTATAGCATGCACTGCCCCTTTTGCAAAGCTGAGACCTTTCAGTGTCATGGATTGTTCTCAATCATCGTCTGGGAAGTCCAGGTGATGTCAATCTCAAAGGTTTTAAATGCCCAGACTCATCTGACCTTGCCCCAACAATCAGCACCATGGGTTCTTCTAAGCAGTTGTCTAGAAAACTGAAACTGAAAATAGTTGACGCTCACAAAGCTGGAGAAGGCTATAAGAAGATAGCAAAGCATTTTCAGATGTCAATATCCTCTGTTCGGAATGTAATTAAGAAATGGCAGTCATCAGGAACAGTGGAAGTTAAAGCAAGATCTGGAAGACCAAGAAAAATATCAGACAGAACAGCTCGCAGGATTGTGAGAAAAACAATTCAAAACCCACGTTTGACTGCACGATCCCTCCAGAAAGATCTGGCAGACACTGGAGTTGTGGTACACTATTCCACTATAAAGAGATACTTGTACAAATATGGTCTTCATGGAAGAGTCATCAGAAGAAAACCTCTTCTACGTCCTCACCACAAAAATCATCGTTTGAACTTTGCAAATGAACATATAGACAAGCCTGATGCATTTTGGAAACAAGTTCTGTGGACCGATGAGGTTAAAATTGAACTTTTTGGCCGGAATGAGCAAAGGTACGTTTGGAGAAGAAGGGGCACAGAATTTAATGAAAAGAACCTCTGTCCAACTGTTAAGCATGGGGTTGGATCAATCATGCTTTGGGGTTGTTGCAGCCAGTGGCACAGGGAACATCTCACGAGTAGAAGGAAAAATGGATTCAATAAAATTTCAGCAAATTTTGGATGGTAACTTGATGCCATCTGTGAAAAGGCTGAAGTTAAAGAGAGGATGGCTTCTACAAATGGATAATGATCCTAAACACACCTCGAAATCCACAGAGGATTACATCAAGAGGCGTAAACGGAAGGTTTTGCCATGGCCTTCTGTCAAGGTCCTACCTTTTCCCAGAGGTTATGTTACTCCATGTGCTGGCATCCATCTTGGATTTCTGCTGAGCATGGTGGGAATCTTTTATGCCTTCAGGTCTCTGAGGTCCATCCCCCAGAGGGGTGTGGCTGAGTACATATAAGCCTGTGATCCGCACATGCTCTTTGCACTTGTGTCTTGTGTCTTTGTCTTGCTACAGCTCTGTGTATACGCTCGTGACTCTTCTGGTATCTGACTCGGCTTGTGACTAAGACCATTCTCTGTGTTTTCCTTCGATCTGACCTTCCGTTGCTGAACCTGGCCCGTGACCTGTGATTCTTTGTCTACTGTTCTGTACCGTTTTGTCCCGTTGTTGTCGACCCGGCCTGCCTGACTACGCTATTGTCATTCTCACCAGCTACACGCCTTTGGCGGCGGCCATTACCGCAGCCGGGGTGTCTCGGGGGCTGCGACCTGGTTCCTGGCTGCGTCAAGTCCATCCCCACCATCAGGGGCCCTGGTGAAGGGCAGCCTGGGACTTAGACTCCGCGCCCTGAGGGACTTCGGTCTGTTGGTGGTGGTTGTCGTCAGCCAGTGCGTTACCCTGCCACTAGGCCTACCTGTCCATTCCACAGCCCTGCCCTGACACCTTCACAATCTCCTGACCTCAACATAATTGAAAATCTATGGATAGACCTTAAAAGAGCAGTGCGTGACAGACAGCCCAGAACTCTCAAAGAACTGGAAGACTTTTGTAAGGAAGAATGGGCAAAGATACCTCAAACAAGAATTGAAAGACTCTTGGCTGGCTACAAAAAGTGTTTACAAGCTGTGATACTTGCCAAAGGGGGCAGTACAAGATATTAACTCTGCAGGGTGCCCAAACTTTTTGCAGATGCCATTTTTTTGTTTTCTGTTATTTTGAAAGTGTAAATGATGGAAATAAAATCTAACTTTTGTTGACATATTATAAGAATGTCTAGTCTGTAATTTGTTGCCTTTTGGAGATTTTTCCATCTTTCCTTGGCTTCTTTATGCACATTAATACAAATTTTTTAGCTGGGGTGCCCAAACTTTCGATCCCCACTGTGTGTGTGTGTGTGTGTGTGTGTGTGTGTGTGTGTATATATGTATATGTGTATATATATATATATATGTATATATATATATATATATATATATATATATATATATACATACATATATATATATATATATATATATACATACATACACAGTTGCAAGAAAAAGTATGTGAACCCCTTGGGATTACGTGGAGTTTTGCATGAATTGGGCATAAAATGTGCTCTGAACAACATCTAAGTCACAACAATAGAAGAACACAGTCTGCTGAACATAATACTACACAAACATTAGATGTTGCCCTGGTTTAATTGCACATAACATGTAAACATTCACAGTGCAGGGAGGAAAAAGTATGTGAACCTTTGGACTTAATAACTGGTTGACCCTCCTTTGGCAGCAATAACCTCAACCAAACGTTTCCTGTAGTTGCAGATCAGACCTGCACAACGATCTGGAGTAATTTTGGAACACTCCTCTTCACAAAACTGTTTCAGTGTAGCAATATTCTTGGGATGTCTGGTGTGAATTGCTCTCTTAAGGTCATGCCACAGCATTTCAATCGGGTTGAGGTCAGGACTCTGACTGGGCCACTCCAGAAGGCGTATTCTGTGCTGTTGCAGCCATTGTTTTGTTGAAATACCTGTATGCTTTGGGTCATTGTCCTGTTGCATCACCCATCCTCTGCGGAGCTTCAGTTGGCGGACAGATGGTCGTACGTTTTCCTGCAAAATGTCTTGATAAACTCTGGAATTCATTTTCCCATCAATGACAACAATCCGTCCAGGCCCTGAGGCAGCAAAGCAGCCCAAACCATGATGCTCCCTCCGCCATGTTTTACAGTGGGGATGAGGTTTTGATGTTGGTGTGCTGTGCCTTTTTTTCTCCACACATAGTGTTGTGTGTTCTTCCCAAACAACTCAATCTTGGTTTCATCTGTCCACAGTATATTTTGCCAGTAGTGCTGTGGAACATCCAGGTTCTCTTTTGCAAACTTCAAACGTGCTGCAATATTCTGTTTGGACAGCAATGGCTTCCTCCGTGGTGTCCTCCCATGTACTCCATTCTTGTTTAATGTTTTCCTTATTGTAGATGTGTCAACAAAAATGTTAGCATGTGCCAGAGATTTCTGTAGGTCTTTAGCTGACACTCTGGGATTCTTCTTTACCTCATGCAGCATTCTGCGCTGTGCTCTTGCAGTCATTTTTACAGGACAACCGTGCCTAGGGAGAGTAGCAACAGTGCTAAACTTTCTCCATTTGTAGACAGTCTGTCTTACCGTGGACACATGAACATCAAGGCTTTTGGAGATACTTTTGTAACCCTTTCCAGCTTCATGCAAGTCAACAATTCTTGATCGTAGGTCTTCTGAGAGTGCTTTTCTGTGAGGCATGGTTCACATCAGACAGTGCTTCTTGAAACCAGTAAACCCAAAACAGGTGTGTGTTTTTTAAGGGCAGGACAGCTGTCAGCAACACATTCAATATCATCACACTGATTGGAGTCAAGGTTGGCTCACTCCTGGCTCCAATTAGCTCTGGGAGAAGTCATTAAGCTAGGGCCTCACATACTTTTTCCTCCCTGCACTGTGAATGTTTACATGTTATGTGCAATTAAACCAGGGCAACATCTAATGTTTGTGTAGTATTATGTTCAGCAGACTGTGTTCTTCTATTGTTGTGACTTAGATGACGTTCAGAGCACATTTTATGCCCAATTCATGCAAACCTCCACGTAATCCCAAGGGGTTCACATACTTTTTCTTGCAACTGTATATATATTATAAAATTAAACCTAACCTCTGTTGCTTCTGCATGCACCAACAAATGCAAACACGCACCCGGGGTGGGCACGTATATGTAAATATGAGGTTTCGCTGCAACAATGGAGGCCCCTCTTTCCAGCTCACAGCCTGTAGGTAGACCCCCTCCTCTGGGGCCCCCTCCCTGGCTCCACACTAGCAGCACTTCCTCACTCCATCCTCCAACCAGCTCCCTTACTGGCGCGGTTCTCTTATATTTATGGGCTGATCTCCCACACAGCCAGGTCTCCTGCCTAGGAATGATCAGATTTTCATAAATATGCAGATCA